CTGTTGCGTTCGTGCGATCCACCAAGTCTCGGCTCGTTCAAGTTCTTCGGACGCTAGCGGGCCCTCACGTCGGCTTCGCCGCGTTCGGCAGTTCTTTACAAACCGCATAATCCATGCAGTAATTCTGAGGATCCGTTCCAGCGCCCCGTACCGTTCAAGTTCCAATAGAGGTGCAATCCCCTCTGTTGCAGTCTGCAATACGTGATGTTCCAGCTTTCCCTCCTCTGCAATAACTGCTACTGGAACGCCGTCGCCCATGACGAGGTTCGGCCATACGTCTTCGGTTTTACCAAGCCACTTTGGACCCTTCCACCATAATTGCATACCATTTAGAGTTTCCGCAGATATTCCCCGTGTCATCAAATCTGCCGGATTTTCTTGTCCGGGGAAGTGCTTCCATGTAGAAGGTGACCCTCCAGATTGGAGCTCTGCCACTCGATTTGCCACAAAGGGCTTCCACTGAGTTGCTGACCCGCGGATCCAGTGAAGTGTGATAGCGCTATCTGTCCAGTAGAATGTCTCTTGAATGTTCATGATCTCTCCAAGATACTGGCCCATCCGTCTTCCAATCACTGCAGCCATTAGTTCTAGTCGAGGTAGTGTTATTCGCTTTATGGGCGCCACACGTGATTTCGAGAATATAAAGTTCACCTCTACCTTCCCATCTTCTCCTTCAGCCCTCAGGTAGGCACAAGTGCCATAGGCCACCGGACTTGCGTCGCAGAAGACGTGTAGCTGGAGAGAACATATGACTTCTCTTGGCGTCATCACGATGCAGCGAGGAAGCATTATCTCTTCTAATTGTGGAAGTTCTGCGCACCATCGCCGCCATTGCACCAGTAGGTCGTCCGTTAGATCGTCGTCCCAACCGATTCCTTGTTCCCAGATTCATTGAAACAAAACCTTGATTCGTATGACGAACGGAGCAAGGAGTCCCAACGGGTCGAAAACCCTAGCTGATGCACGGAGTGCATAGCGCTTCGTCGTCCCACTGCACGTGACGAAGTTCAGGATTCTCTCCACTGGAATGGCCAGCGTGTCAGCGTCACGTCGCCAAAGAAGTCCAAGTACAGCTCTCGGCTCAGAGAGTGCAGACGTTGATGCAGCTTTATTGAACGATCTTTGCAGTTCTGTACCGTTGGTAGACCACTTTCGGAGTCTCATTCCTGCATCTTCTAAAATCTGGTTGGCTTGTTCCTGTATTCGCGCCGCTTCTTCAATAGTGGGGGCTCCGATCAGGAGGTCGTCGACGTAGAATCTCCGTTGAAGCAGTTCCGCAGTCGATCGCAATTCTCCATGGACGTTGCTCAGATGATGAGTAAGAGTTCGGTTAGTAGAAAGGGGCTGGCCGATGTCCCAAAGGGCACTCTCGTCATCCTCCACTCTTCAACGGTTGGTTCAGAGCTTGCTGACGACGAATCTCTCTGAAACCACAGGAAGTGTAGGACGTCTCGATCTTCAGGTCGAACGCTGACCTGCAGAAACGCCTTTTCTATGTCCGCTGTTAAGGCGATTGGGTGTAGACGGAAGCGCACCAAGATTCCGACCAGAGCGGCGTTCAAATTCGGCCCTTTTTCCAGTTGTTCGTTGAGTGAAGCAACTCCTGGGAGATGAGACGAAGCGTCGAAGACGACTCTCAGCCTGGTGGTCTCGGATTCATTCTGAATTACGGGCTGATGGGGCATATAATAAATCCGTGGGTTTGTCGACTCGGCGCAAAATGGGCTCGTTGAAACTTTTTCTGCGTGTCCTGAGGTGATGTAGCTGCGTATGACGTTGTCGTAATCTTTTGCGAAGGACTCGTCGCGTGACAATCTCTTCTTCAAACTCTCAAGACGTTTCAATGCCAGTGTGCGGTTATCCTTCAGTTCTTCCGCGCCGACCCTGAACGGTAGACCGACTTCGTACCGTCCATTCACTTTCCATATTGTTCGGTTGAACTCGTTCTGCAGTTCGTTCTGTTCTTCCATCTTGCTGGAGGGCTGGTCAGAAATTCCGATGCTCTCTAGCTCCCAAAAACGCCGCAGGATGTCTCCGACGTCCTCGTTCGTGAAGCCTTCCGTTCTTAGCACGCATACCATGCTGCTGGCGCTGCCTTTGAGAGATCTGTGGTTTGACACTGGGCCTTGAAAGGTCCAGCCAAAAATGGTGCTTATAGCTACCAGCTTCTGATTTTCCTTGCAATGCAGCACTTGGTCACCGTTCACTCGCCACAACTGGTCTGAACCGACCAGAAGGAAAATGCCCTCTTCAGCAGTGGCCAGAGGGAAAAGAAGCATGTCCGCAATACGACGGCCGTTTTTCATCATACGGCGAACAAATTCGTGGTCGGCGGGTACCTGCACAACGTCCTTACAGATGAAGGGTACCTCGACAGCCTCGAGGACGCACTCTTCTTGGCCGTATTGGCTGTGCAACCGTACTTGTACTAGTCGCCGACGTTGCGGTCGTGACGTGGCCGAACGTATTTAGCCGGAGACTAACATATCCCAGAACCTTGAGGCCGAGTTTGCGAGAAAGATCCTCACGAATGAACGTCCGTTGGCTACCTCCATCGATAATAGCTCGCACGTAAAGTCTTTGGTTTCCTTCCTCAGCCCAGGCTCGGAATGTTTGAAGAAGCACTTCGGAATCCAATGGGATGTCAGCACTGTCGGAGATTGCGTTCTGGACGCTTGTCGCAGGGGCAGCTCTCTCCGATTTCTTCACGTTAGGTTTCCAGTTTGGGTCGCACATGGATGTGGCATGTCGACCGGAGCACGACGCGCATGTCACCTTCCGCCGACACTCCATCGCCCGGTGCCCTCCGATTGTGCATCTGAAGCAGCGGTTTTCTTCCGCCAGCCTCCTTTTCTTCACCTCTAACGTGAGGTCGCCAGTATATACTTCTGTTGCGTGCTTTGTGGACCGGCAAAAGAAGCAGGGGCTTGTGATATTTGCAGGTAGCACAGAGGCTGCTGGCATTCTGGGTCTTTCAGTTTTTTTCTTCTGCGTCTCTTGCCGTTCTTCTACTACTCCGGCTCTCTCCCTACTCTCAACTTCGATCCGAAGGAAGCTTAGAATATCGGCGAGCTCATCTTCGGCATCGGCGAAAGAGGGCGGCCTTGAAGCGCTCCGGGTGGAAAGTGGTCCGTCGACAGAGTGTCCGGTGTCCTGCACCGCTGGTGAAGTCAGTGAAGTCGGACTGTTTTGCGTTTCTCCCGTCGACCTGTAGGCAGTGCTGCTTGCCTGCCACCGGTGATAATTTACGACGACTTCGCTCGGCAAGGCCTTGAGGAGGATATCGGACATCATCGTGCAGTACGTTGCCGATCCCACTCCGAGCCCTTTCAGACCTCGGATGTTCGTCTGGACGTGATCGTACATCTTTCGGAGGCCTTTCGTGTCTTTCGCGGAGGCAACAGAAGGCAGTGCTCGGAGCTTCGCCAGATGATTTTGCTCGATCCTTCGTTTATCACCGAAGCGCAGTGTCAGGATTTCAATGGCATCGTCGTAGCAGGGCTCAGTTGCCTGGAGCCCAGCGATGGCCGCCGCCGCTGGTCCGGTGACATGGTTGCGCAGGTACTGAAACTTGTCCGATCGTGGAATGCAATCGTTTTCGTGGATAGCACGACCGAACTGCTCCCAGAAGCTCTGCCACGCGCTGACCTCGCCGTTGAAAGTTTGAAGTCGTAACTTGGGAAGCTTCACGCCGCTAGTCATGTTGGTGCGATTTCTTCCCAGGTTTGTAGTGGCAGTCGCAGATGTTGTCGCGGATGTGGTCATCTGGGTGGCCTGTGCCTGTTGTTCTTTACGTCTCAGTGAGTCTGCCTTGCAGTCCAACAGCGCCATCATTCGGATGGCCTCGTCGACGTACTCCATGACCGTAGTGTATTCTGCGACGAGGTCTTGTTCCGATATATGATCTTCTATCTCCACGTTCAACTCTTGAAGAGCCCTGTTATTGGCCTTCAGTCTTTCTAGCCAGGCAGTCAGCGATGCCAGGTCCGCTGTCTCCATCTCCGCTGTCGTCTCGTGGATAATTTTCGTGTTTTGCGACCGCTTCACTCCACGTTTTGCCTTGAGACGTTCCATGTTTGACGATCTCCCACACAGCTCTCGGAAACAGCGTTCCAGGCAGGTGTTCCACAAAGGTGGAAAATCCGCTCACCTCAATCGTTCTCGTTCCCGTGTTTCGGCACTATAATGTCTCAGAATTGAAGAGGTCGTGTGGACGTCGTATTTAAATCAGGCAAAAAGCGTAAAAACAAAACACAAACTGTATTTACACTAATAAATCAATCGAATATACATCATTACAGAGAAGTGTCTCGATCGGCTTCTGTCGTTCGCCTCGTTCCGCTCGTGCCTCGAGCCTTCTTCTTTCTTCTCGTTTCTCGTGAGCTTCAAAATCTTTCCAATCTGCAACAGACCGAGTTTGCAGACCAGAATGCAAACGAAATGCAGGCCGATGTAGGAGATAGGGAATGCAAAACTGGCGTTTTAGTTATACATTTTTTTTCGCTACCTCTGAATTCAACAATAGAAAATATGCATACATTCTTTCGCAAAACGTTCGCGTGCTGAGTTTCATGCACGTACGTTTCGAATTCGAATATCGCGAGGCGTGCAAAATGTGCTGATCCTTGCGGCCGCAATCCCGCAACCTGTACTTTCCATAATTGCGGACGTGGTTGGAACCTATAATTCAGTCAGAAATCAGAGCTTGTGCTACGTTATGTAGGCAACCATATTCCACGTCTTGACTGGCTCGTAACTCGTGCTGCACGTCGGCCGTTTCCGGCAGCAGCGGAAGCAGTGCGATGAAGATCTAGCTCGAGATGGTCGGCGAACAGCCCGTGGCCCGAGCCCACTTCGAGCGCCCGACCTGCATGCGCAGCTCCGAGCATCCAGCTCGCTTATTCCGGAACATTTCTGCGCCATCTATGAGGAAAAGGCTACAAATTAATCGCGGGTGAACCCCCTTAAAGGAAAAAAAGAGGTACGTGTTTTTCCTCCTCGAAACATCTGTTCTTAGAACAGGTTATCTCCGCACGTTCTGGTGTTCTTACGTGACTGCCGGCATTTGTATAAATTGAAGGTATTACAGCTACGAACTTCAGATCAATCTGAGAAACTGTAAGGTAACACCTCATCATGAGTGCAAGATATACCACCATTTTCATACTCCTCCTTGCAAGTGGTAAGTTTTTGTTTGTGTTTCTATTTAAGACAGTCGTGCTGAGATTTTTGACGTGATGGCTTATATATGACAACAGTTTTCAGTTTTCTGCTCTTGATATAAACTGTTCTTAAGCATACATGCATATATACGAATGTAGAACGCGAGAAAAATCAGCATTCGAAATATGTATTTTTGTTTCTTCTTGATTTTTATGTATTGCTGATTTTAATATAATTTTTCCGCACCAGGACGTCAGCGTGTTGAACCAGAAATGTATGCTGGCCTCCTACACCTATCACTTTCCCCATGGCCTGTTTCTTTCGGTCACGGGGCGCTGTCGCGTACACGGGGTGCGTTCAGGGAAAGAGGCGCCTCTGCTAGTGTCAGCGAGACGCAGTTATTTAATGCTGTCATGACGCGACATTCTAGCGTTCCAACATGCGCACTGGTACAAACGTGCGTCTGCCCCTAGGCACTTGTCCCCGGGCACTGACAGAGTGTTTGATAGGAAGGCAATGCGACGCACAGCGGAAACGCATTCTAAAAATACCCGAGTTTGTTAGCGAGGGGCGCTGCTCAAAAATTGAGAGCTACAGGTCTATTGTTCAACTATAAAAAACCCAATAACAAAACACAAACAGTAGATCTTCGGTCAGCAGGAAATTTGATCTTTTAGTTTTGTGGATATATGCCTAAAATAACGCGAGCGCTTCGAGTAGCCTAAATACACGCAGTTCACTTCCACTTCCGAATATTTTTATTTATTCCCGAGATCCGAAAAAAACTGCGCATTAGGTGGACACAAAGTTCACTTAAGAGTTCTGGTTCTTGTTGTTTACTTTTTTTAATGATAACTCAATCTAAACTCTCTGAGTGGGAAAACAGAGGATCGCATCGCGATTTTTTAATCGATAATAGGTCGTGCGAGACCATATTTTGAATTTTTGAGGGGATCCTAATAAGAACTTAGGTTTGTGATATTGAGATAAAAAACTAGCTAAAAGGCATCCTTAACGCCATTTTAATATTTCGTGGGGTAGTTCACTGCGGCACCAGATCATAAACTAAAATACAGCATTGGTCAAACATCAAGGTACTTGCTCCTGCGTTTGATAATATGTCACTTTTCCTCTTTTGATTATACGTTTCTTTTTTTGGAAGAACATGGTTTGGAGTTTATCGGAAAGCCGTGACTAAGAATATATATATATTGTATCGACGCCCGGGCAGTCTTTCCTGGTATACACGAAGAGCGAGTCGTCTGCTTCTTGCGTAGGGGTGGCGGTGACGTCAGAACTACCTCGAGCTCTGATTGGCTTTGATTGAAAGGATAGCGGGTAGACCTTAATCATCGATGCCTTGAGCTTTACCCACTGTTTCTTTCAATCAGCCAATAATAGCTCGGCGTTCTGTAATCATCGCAACCAGGCAAAAAGCAGGCGAACTTGAGCTCCGCATTATCTTCACAAATTCATTTTTCTGCGACGAACAAACAATAAAAAATACACGCTTGCATTTAATTTTTTTTTTTGTTTCAGCTTTAAATCTAGACGCAGCCAATGCTGCAAGTGCGAGATCCGTGCTTTCAGCGTCCCTCCCAAGCATGTCCTCGCGCTTGTAGCATCGGCTGTGTCTGGAGTTCAGCTGAAACGAAGTACAGTGCGGTAGTTTACAGTGGTCTTTTTGGCTCTGAGGTGGGACAAGGTAGTTATTTATTCCGCTCCATGGGTTCATATCCAGTTTGTGAGCGTTTCATCTGGATCGGCCTTGTATATCTCCGATATTTGCCATTGTCATCACTCAGGGAATAACGCTAAATGCCTGCGATTTGAGTTCTGTATCGAGCTAGACAGATTTCCGTACTTCGGGAGGAACTTCAGGCACTATTTGAAGCCGCTCTTTTAGGCTGCTCCCGTGATGCAACATGTTCTTTTTTCGTTTCTTCTGTTGGTAAACCCCGCATGCGACGCCACAGAGTCATTACAGGTTTATAGCCATTGTAATTATTGGCCTCGTTGTCGACGTTTTTGTTTGTACCACCAGATGCACCATTAAGGTTATTATCACCGCCATGATCATCATCTCGTCATCATAACCGTTTTCGTATACCGTGTTGACTCACGCTGAATTGCGAAACAGCGCTCCACGTCAAACAGCCGAACGGGCCGTTTCACGTGGAGTTGACCATTCTGAAAACTCGAGGGCTACGGAAATGTCATAGGCAAGTGACTCTACAGAGCGCATCTGTGTCACTTGATCGACCTCCGAGAAATAGAAATAAATATAATTAGTTCATTTTACAAGCATGCTGTACCCATAGCTTGTTTCTAAAAAGTATTAGAATTGTTTTAATTTCATCGTTTGAGTTATTCACATTCAAACGTGCCCCCTCCATCAGTGCGCGTTAGTGCAAATGTCCACCTCTTCATGCCTTACGAATTTTCCTGTCCCCAAATCTTTTTTCTGGTCAAAGCTAAGTTTGGGTTCGTTTATACCAGACATTAGGCAATACCATATAAATATATCAGTTGATTTAAAAGTTTTAGCAAGCCACCCTCTGGTCGATCTTAACTTCAATCACCCTATGGCAACCAGTGTTATCAGCTGCACGGCCATCGTTTGACGCCAAGTACATATTGCGGTACCACAAGACGTACAATCGGCAAAAAGGTTTGCGGGGCACGGGAGCGCCAGCCAAAAAGTATGGCTGCGCCTTCTGACGGCGCGTTGCCGCTCTCAAGACTCACGGTTTTCCCATGTGCTGCCCTTTGTAGCCAGAGTTATGTTTTTTTTTTTTTGCTCGCTTCCGACCGACGCCCACGAAGTAACAGAAACTGGCGCAAGCTAACGCTACATGTTATCTGTAACATGCGGGATCCGTCAGCAATCACGATGACTGAGGCAGGTCCGCATCATGACGGCTGACAAAACGGAACCTTGCGCTGGTCCCAGTTATCTTCTGCTCGTCAGACGGAAATGAGTAAAAACGACAGGGCTGCGAGCTCGAACAAAAGCACATTCTCGAATTGTGAATCTTCTGAGCGGCCACGCGCCGTCAGAAGGCACAACCAGTCACCTTGTCTGGTGCTCCCGCTCTTCGTAAACGTTTGCTGCCGTCTGTACGACTGGCCTAGTCGCAAGAACCGTTTCGATAAGTAAGGAAATATACTACGGCTGTTTTACTACTTTGGTTTGCAGACATCGAACTTTTGTAGTAAATATTAATACAGATTAATAAAGTTACCGGCCCAAAACCGAGTTTGCCACGATGTAGGCAGGCTCAGAACGAACCTCCACTATATACTAAATAAAACTAAATCTTGGCGCTGTGCTATGGACGTTGCAAAAGCATCGTGGAAGCACACCCTAAGTTCACGCTGAGCAGGAACAAAATAAAATATGACCGCCAGTGAAGGCTGCCTTCGGCACCTCGGCCCGCTTGAGCGAGAAGGGGTCAATAACCTTCTCGTACGATCGCGAAAGAGCACTTCCAAGCTACACCGTTAAACATACCATAAAAGCAGAAATCGTATGCTCGGACGGCTGAAGCCGCAGCAGAAAAACACGACAAAATACGTGGCAGTACGAACAAGGAACCTATTTGAGAATGAAGGTGAAATCGAGGCTTGCTTGACTAACAGCCCACCTGCTTACTGCCCGATCAAAAGCTGGCTGTATCATTTTTTTCTATTGATTTTAAATTGGGTCGTATATTTTTAAGTTAGTGTAATATTTATGTAGTACTCGTGCTTGGTTTCCGTAAATCGATATTAATCTTTTTTTTCATTCCTATTTTGACCGGAGTTATCCTTTGATTTCACGTTGGAGTTGAGATAAAATTCATTAATTCGAGTTGTGCGAAAGAAAAAAAAAATCCTTGCTCCGAGATTCCTACTGAGTACAACGACACTTCAGCGTGATGAAATTCAGATTATGCTTGCAGGAGATTACTGCGACGCTTCGCTTGAGTGTCGTGCATAGCTGGAAGAACCAGGAAAGTCAGTCTTGCCTCGGCATTTGCCAATGACAACTTACCTGCGACCTCTTCTAGATAAGCGACCTCGTTTTCCTAACATTTTTTCTGAACAGGCTTTTTTCAAAAAGACCGTTTTGGTCAACGCGTCGCTATCAAGCGAGTGGGCGCCACACGAGACGGATGTCAGGTTTCACTTAATCGTCCACTCGAAGCAGCAGGCGTGAGGCGAACGACGTGGCTCTTCAGCTATTTACCCCACGTCCGCCTCCGAGCCCGGTGCGCAGAAATTACTTAGACAAATGATAGGTCCTGAAGTCAAAGATTTGAACCTAGCCCCAACCGAAAACCGGAACAAAAACAAACGTTTTGAACAGAAAGTCGGAGCGCAAACAAGCTGGTTAACATTCGAAGCCACACAACCGTGACACTCCAGGTAAGCAAAAGACGACGCGCGCAAAAATAAATTCTAACAATCCTGAACATGGGTTTCACTCGAAAAGTGTTTAAATGGTAAATTCCACCGACACAGACCACAAAACGTTATTCTTGGGAAGCCAACACGAAACGTTTATTTTGCGGCGACATTTTTCGCACCGCGTCCAAAGTGTGCTTCCCGTACGTACAACGTTACCCGCTTTATATGGCGGGAAATGTTAACCACTAAGATTAGCGGGGGTTCAGAGTGTCGCGTTAATATGTCGTCATAGTATCGCGTGACGTTATGTAGCTTCAAGTCATAATTTTTCAGAAGTGTTTCGTGTATGAAAATTGTTTCGCTAAATTTGGCGGGTAAATTTATATCCGCAACTTTCAGCGATGGTGGTAGCGTGGTGTGGGAATCGCGCTCCCTAGCTCCTGGATGATCGGCTTCGCAATAAAGGGGTTTGCCTACGCCTTCCTGACGTGCAAAGAAGAAATAAAGTAAGGCTCTAATACTGCTCGTATATGGCAAAACCAGAATTAATCTTGCTTCGCAGACCCGGCCTCGTACTGCTGTTCTACGACGATCATCAGAGTGACAGCCATTTTGATTGGCACCAGC